AGTCAAGGTCATGGGGAGAATTCTGGGCTGTGGTGGAGACTGCAATGACAGCCAGCAATAAAAGTGGGGAGATTTATTATTGTCTGGGGCGGATAAAGGTGTACACAAAGGGAAATTGAATTTTTGGCTGACGAGTGTCAAGCTGAAAGTAGGAAATAGCAGATCAGGGGATAAAGCTCAGAATGCTGGAGGTGATGGAGGAAATATTCTGTACGAATGAGGTAAAGTTAAAAAGATTGGCAGTCAACTACAAAGACCATTATCGGTGAGAAGATGGCTCCGATAAATGTGCAGTACTAAGAGTAAGGCATTTTCAAGGTGGATGTGGAGGATTTCAACAGTAGGTTGAAGTGTAGGATTTCTATGGAGAGTGGACGGGGGACGACTGCCAAGGTGGATTGAAGAAGGACCATTTCAGCCTTTATCTGACCTTGATGAATGGGTCTGTACTTTACAGTTGACTGAGAGCTCCCATTGTTGGGACTCATCTATGGATTCTTTTGCTCCTTGACCATGAAAATGTTTCAGAAAACGAACATCTGATACCACAGGCCCAACTACTCCATTCGCCCATGTGTAGCACGGTGATAGTTAATGTGACTAAGTGAGGTAACTCTCCCATTCTGCTTCTCCATTCCTGTACAAAGGGAGGCTTATTTAGAGAATGCAGGGGTATCCTGGGCCCCTTAGTAATCAGGCATGAGCCCTGGACTCTCTTCTTCCAGCTCAGTCCTCGTTTACATGATCCAGAATTAATGCAATATTATATAATACTGATACAATAAAAATATATTACAATCGGCGGAGGGATGACGAAGGACGCAGACGTAGGGCGTGGCTACGTGGTGGTTTGGGTGTGGAGAGCCGAGAGCAACGAGCTGATGTCGGCACCGTTAATGTGAAGGCACATTGAATGCAAACAAGAGACTCCGCATACACTACAATACGCAGTGAGAGAAAGCTAAATGAAAAGGAGGGTCGGGACTGCGAGCTGATGACACAGACGGCTTGGCTTGTACAGAAAGTTATACAGGGAGAGGGTGGAACAGACAGAGGCAACTGGGTCACGCATTGTGAAATCCAGTCAGTCTATGACTGTGAGTGGAGGCAGCATTATGGTGTGGGATTAGGCCGTTTGTGTAATAAACTGAAATTAGGTCCATAGAGACCCACTGTGGGAAGAGGTGAAAAGTGTTCAAAACCAACTGGAAACACAGGCCCTTGGTGAAGCCATAAATTTCTTACACAGAAAAAGTGACTTGGTGGTGGGCTACTGATTTCTTTCATTAATTTATTACCTTGCTCCCAAGAATATGCTGTCCTGTAAAGTCATTTGATTTAGTGCCAAACTAAGCCTGGCTTTGGTGCAATCTCCGACCATATCTTACAGCACGCATTTGCAGAGACTCTAAATTGATATAGAAACAGAGAAACTGAATTCCCTTTTTTTTTGTGTGTGTGTGTGTTTGGAAATTCTTGCTGGGCGAAAGAGAGAAATATTTGAGGAAGAAATTTGATTTGTGTCAAATCAGCATAAATAGAGATACACTCAAAATAAAAAGGAAAACTAGCTAAGCGAATAAGCCCTCTTTAAGAAACAGAATTGGCCACTCCTTAAATCACAACATCCGTAATAAACTCCGGAAACAAGGCAAAGACACTCCAGTTATCTTTTCTTCCGTATTTTTCCTTTTTATTTTCTTTTGTTTCAAAAACAAATTTAGATACCAGGCAAGCCAATAATAAAAAAGAAAAGAAGTCTGTTAATAAAACGGAAAAACGGCTCTCCTTTTCTCTCCACAATCTAGTAGGGCAGAATAAGAACCGCAATATGATACTGAGCCTATGGCGAAAGATCTGGCTGTGGAAATCACCAAAACGACCGTGATTGAAGAAATAACACCCTCATTAAAAGAATATTTAAATACTTGTTTTGAGATTCAACTAGAGAAGATTAAATCTGAAATCCAGCACAATATGATGGAATTTAAAAAAGATTTTCTATTATTAGGGACCAGAATTAAATTAACTGAAGGAAAAAATTGAAGCGCTATCATTTCAACAAGATCTTGATCAAAAGATTCAGAAAAAACTTATAAAAGAGTACAGAGCCAAACGTAACAATTTAAGGCTTAGAGACATAACGGGACAAATCACTAATGACAAACTAGAAGAATTTGTCTTATAATTTCTTTGAAAATTAGGAATTCAGAACTCCACCAACTCAGCGATACTGGAAAGATGTCATAGAACTATGAGAACACGCCAAATGCCGGAACAGTCTCCAAGAGATGCTGCACGTCATATAAAACAAAGGAACGAGTATTAAAACTATCAAGAACAGCGCAACTAGAGGACCCCCTTTATAGAATCAAAATATTTTCAGATTTTTTTCTACTACACAAGAGTGAAAAGAAGAACGTTTGCGCCCTATACAAAAATCTTAAGGGACAACACTATCTGCTGTAAATGGGGTTTTCCAACTAAACTCATTATTTTCTATGAAGCAACATCTTACATCATGGCAGATTCAGACCCAACACATCAGTGGCTTAAATCCAAGAACCTGGGAGAAGTCAACACATAAAATAAAGAGACACGACGAAGGAAGACAAAAGAGAAAGGACCTTTTTTTAATTTTATTTTCATTTTTTTATTTTATCCTCAGCTTTTTTAGAGGATTCTTGGTTATGTTTATTATACTTAGAAGTTTAGTCACAATGTCACGTGGCTCAGTAAGGAGTAGGAGGGAAATGTACCAAAAGCACACAGAAGAGTAAAAAGAAGGGTACTTGTAGAAATTACACATAGATATCGGGGAAGTCCTCCGTTTAGAACATTGATTAACTAGCACATATAAGCAGGATATGATAAAGGAGGGGCGGGAGAGGAGAAAGTAACCAGGGGGAAAATAAATAAAATCATTAATGGGTGTAAAGGAAAGTCACAAAGTTAAGAAAAATAAGAAACTCAAGTAGGATCCAATTAAAAATGTATATGAATTGCACAATATTAATTATAGGTTTCACTTCACATCATTTCAGGTCAATCAGTCTACAATATAAAAATACACCAATAAGAATGACAAACTAGAGTTAACATGGATAAACAAAGGGGAAAAGGGTTATAGATATATAAAGAATAAGACACAGTTGAACGTTAAGAACTGTCACTAAAGTTTTTTTTTTTTTTTGTAAATTGAATTTTTATTCTTTTTAAAACTAAGGGTACAGAAAAGAACGATAGGAAAAAAAAAAAGGGGGGAATTACAATCCACATTATTTACATAATACAATATCTTTCTTACAAGGTTTTGTTATAAGTATTACCAATGTCTAAAATATTATTGCTTATAATTGATATCTCCAGTTAAAATAGTTGGATTACAAAACTGTCTACCTTTATAGAACTTGCTGGTAGTACATTTATAACTCTTAGTGGAGAGAAGAAAAAAAAAAATTTTTTAGGGGGGAGAAAGAAAAGGAAAAGGGCCAAACCCAGATTGTATATTCCTGGGTTACCCAAGTTATCAATGTCCGCGATTTTGAGTGCTATGAAGTAAGAGTTGATAAATAGCTTCGCCATCTATCAGCTACTTTCGGGCTTAAACTCCCTATTCTTGTTTGCTTCCACATAATAAGTTCGTACTCTACTGTTATAGACATCAAAGACCTGATTTCTTGTAAGGAAGGTAATTCTGAGGATTTCCAGTTTTTCGCTATTAATATTGATACTGTAGATAAAATTAGAAAAATCAATTTCCTTATAGATTTAGTAATATTATCTGGGAGTACTTTGAGAAGTAATATCTTTGGTTTATGTTCTAGTTTACATTCTGTGGCTTCTTCAATCATTCTCTCTGTATCTTTCCACAAATTATTTACTTTATCACATGTCCACCATATATGGAACATAGTGCCTTTATGTAGCTGGCATCTCCAACATATATCCTCCGCGTCTAATTTTTTTTGTACAAATTTGTCTTTAATATAAAGAATGTTGTGCCTTTGAAACTAATACGAGTGCTCGGGTTGTATCTCCACAACCTCACCTCATAGATTTTATGAGGTGGATGAAGTGTCCCTATAGACCATATGAGCCCAGGAGACACTTCCTAAATTCCCAATTAATGATTGGGATTCGTCTTATGTTTTTTAAATGTGGTTCTGGGACCATGGATGAAAGTGTGGTTGGAGAGCGATTGCATTTACCGGTAATTTTTTGATGGTTAATGTTTAGGCTGGTCTCAATCAATCAATCAATACCCAAGGCCTTAATTCGTTTCCGAAAAGGAGCATGCTTTTAGATTGGTTAAAAAAGGGAAAGGCTTCAATAGGCTGTATACACGAAACTCACTGGAGATTGAAGGATAAAATGAATTTACGTACAAAGAACTTTCCTCTTATGATCCAATCCTCGCTTAATTAGGAGCTTCTGAGGAAGTCGGATCGCAACGAAACGCGTTGAGCAGTCACAAGAGCCCTACATTTTTGGTACAGCAGTCTTTTTTTGGTCTACTAGTATACTGTTATTTGTGCTATGTATAGGTTCTTTTTATTATATATATTTTTTTTGCGAATTTGCACTATTGTGTGCTATTGCTTAATTTTATTTTAACTCTTAATAAAGTGGATGTTTATAGTTCATTGATTGTCTTTTCCATATATGGGAATCTCCAGACATATTTTTTCCTTCTCCTATGGGATTGTGGCGCCCTGTTTTTTCTGATACACATTCAGGATTTTTGTTGTTTCTAGTTATAGAGGTTTGGGAGTGACCTCTTGACAGTGGCTTGCCTGCACTAATTATCTATTTCACCACCCACCCAGTTACGGTTTTGTTTTGTAATTATAACCCTTGTTAATGTACCTAGTTTTTATTAGCTTCGATTGTTCATCAAACATTCTTAGGTCACAACAAAAACATTATCTAGCCATAAAGAATGATGTAAGCTCTGAAGATTATAATCATTGTGGTTAATATAATTAACAAAGGAGGACAGACTTTCAGATGACCCCTTACATCATCCTTTATGGCTAGATAATGTTTTTGTTCTGACCTAAGAATGTTTGATGAACATTCTCAATTTAAAATTCTGGTTCTTGCTTTCAAATCTCTACACAATGCTGCTCCCACCTATCTATCCTCCCTTACACACAAGTATGTCCCGTCTAGGCCCTTACGATCTGCTGAAGACTTACGTCTATCTTCTGTCCGTAATCCCACCTCTGATGCTCGCCTTCAAGATTTCTCGAGGGCTGCACCGTTCCTGTGGAACTCGCTTCCCTCCTCCGTTAGATGCTCACCCAGTCTCCACTCCTTCAAAAAATCGTTAAAAACCCACTTCTTCGTAAAAGCGTATCAATTAAACTGTTAATAGCTCCTGACTGATTTCTCTTCTGCAACTGTCACTAGTCGAATACTATCCTTACCTTTTTGTGTCATTTTACCCCACTCCCTCTAGCATGTAAGCTCATTGAGCAGGGCCCTCAACCACTCTGTTCCTGTGTGTCCAACTTGTCTGGTTACAACTACATGTCTGTTCGTCCACCCATTGTAAAGCGCTGCGTAATTTGACGGCGCTCTATAAATATCATAATAATAAATATCATAATAATAACTAGAAATGCTACAATTTCTGGGGAAATTGTGTGGTGTTCTTGCCTCCACCAGTAGTCTACAACTGGAGTGGGCGGAGTAACTGTTATCATTTATATAGCACATTTAATTGCAACGTTGTTGCACAGTTACATTAAACCATACATTTATAAAAACATTAGCAGGTGTTCAAAATGCCCTGTCTATGACATCACTTGCTGCTGCAGCCTGGCACAGGTCAGAGTATTTTGGCAGTTGCCATCTTCAAACGGTCGTATTTTAAAAACTATAAATCCTACAGCGAAGAGCTTTATATTGTGAGAATCACAAGACCCAGGCCTACATTTTGCATAGTATGTCTCTGAAGTATTAAAAATGAAGGCGCAGTTTAGAAATTGCACTTCAAATGTGAGCTTTGTAGAGTGAAGTTTCAATGAATGTCAATGGACGGCGTTAGTTGCAAACAAATGATTATATTGTGAAAACTATCAGGACTATGGCTTAGCCGTTTACATGTTTAGTGGCAGCAGGGATAGCCGAACGTTTTGATATAAGATTTGTGTAGGTGGGCCTGAAAATAAGGGAGTGGTGGCAGTTTAGAAATCATGTCCTGATTATTCAGCTTTTGCCAGCTCCCACTCTAGCTTTGCCATTCATTCCTATGGGACAAATTTCGCCACAAGAACGACGATATTCCGTGAACCATTCGGCGAAACGTTCCACAAAGTAATAGCAATCCGATCGGGAACAATCTGCACGTTTTGGTAAATTTTTGTCTATGTAGTGTAAAAACTGTGGGAGGAGTTAGGGTGGCAAATTTGGCTATAATAAGAATAATAATATATATGTGAGATAACAATAAGTGGTCTTGCTATGCAAGAACACTTAATAACACTCAAAGCTAATAACTAGGTACATTAATAAGGGTTATAATTACAAAAGAATGGAGAAAGGTGAAGCATTGGTAAGGAACATTATAGAAAAGGAAAGGAGGAAACCGCGCCTTACATAAATTGTATATACATACACTTGATGTCTCTTGGTGGTTGTAAATATATCCTCAAAAAGAGAACACAGAGAGAAAATATACAATAGTGTGGTATGTTTAACAATGTTGGAAAAAAGTAATGAATAGAGCGGAGGTATTTTGAACTCACATTTGGTAGAGCTATTATGGGAGCTCTACCGTGATTAGCATGGACGGTACAATCCCCGTCTTGGGCTTAGAGGTCCAACGTCTTTGGCACTCCAATGGTGTGGTGGTACGAATCAAAATGGAAAAGAAAAAACTCCAATAGTGTAGTAGTTCTATCTCCAAATATGAATAAATAAATGAAAGTAATATACTCACATTTGCTAGAGCAGACAACTTGCTCTAGTATATAGGGCTTGCAGTGGTATAATCCCCACTGAAGGATATGCAGGTCAGGAAGTAGATGATGCAAATAAAATATAGTAAAATAGAATATAACTTTAAAAGGTATATTTAATAGAAATACAAATAAAATAAAATATAATGCTATATAAAATAACACTTAACGCGTTTCGCCAATGGCTTCATCAGAAGTGTAAATAGCATACATCAAAAACTTCCTTTAAATACATAACTTACATGAATAACATGATTGTTGATGTCTTCCAGGTGTGCCTCGGCCAAAAAGCGCGCGTAGGCAAAAACCGGAAGTAGTGCGGCGTCCACGTGGGTATCGGCAAGCCAGCGTGGAACGCACGCGTCAAAACCGGAAGCGGCGTGGCGCCCACGTGGGTGGAATGCAAAACATGCGTTCCACCGTGGAACGCATAACAGCCGCGGCCGCAATATATTCCAATGAGGGGATCAGATACATAGAATTGTTCACAGACAAAACACATGAATAAAATAGCAGAATAACTTTTCCTCCTTAGTGTAAAATAGAAAAGTAAAAACTTCTTAGAGTTCTTTCACCAAGCAATTCGAACATCTAACATTGCACAAAGAATGTTCAATCCATTGAAGGCATATATGGAAGCAGCAGAACATCTTTTCTTCTTTGGTGTAAACATAAAGATATATAGGGTTCATAGCGTCCTTTTTATGGAGGCAGTCTTGAACGGCCAACAGTACATAAAGTGTCCATCATTAATTGCTTGTTGGTCCAGTCATTTATAAGGAGAGTAAGTGTATAGACAAAAATAAATAAATGGTCCCATTATGAGCATATCTTAACAAAGTATACATATATAGATAGCACAGAAATGGTAAAAATGTAAAAATAGATACATATAAATAAAAGAATAAGAGTGCATAAGTATAAGATCAAATATGAAACATAAAAATATATATATATATCTAAAATAAAAATATAATAATAAATATAAATGCAATAAAATAATAAGGGAGTAGGGTGAATAGAAAAAAAATAGGATAATACAAAATGAGATGAGGGAGAGAAAAAAAAATATATTTTTTTTTATAAAAAATTGAATAAGTCGAATTCTATATTTAAACCATCTGGGTGTAGGGTATTCATATTATAAACCCATTCCATCTCTGTACGTCCTATTTTTTTAATATGATCACCTCCTCTCCAGTGTGATTTAACAGTGGCAATACCAGTGAAGGTGAGATTTTTAGGATCATTATCATGAATACAGAAATGGGATGAAACGGAATGATTTTTAAAACCCTTTTCTATGTTTCTACAATGCTCAGCAATACGAATTTTTAAAGGTCTGATAGTCCGTCCTATATATTGTAGGCCACAAGGGCATTCCAATAAATATATAATGTTTTTACTGTTGCATGTGATTATTTCTTTTATATTATAGGACTTGCCATTATTATTTGATTTAAAATTAGATCTTAGTTTAGATGCGGGTTTAGTTTTTTTACATGCAATACACATGTTGCACTTATAAAAACCTTTTGTTTCATTTAAAAAACTAGCCCCTATGTTTTTTTCAGGTTTTGTGTAATTTTTTGTAAGATGCATCCTTAGGTTGGGCGCTCCCCTAAAAACTATTTTTGGTCTTTCTGGTATTAAGTGTTTAAGAATAGTATCTTCTTTCAATAAGTTCCAATGTCTATTAATAATCTTTTTTAATTCTTTATTTTTGTTATTGTAATCTAATATAACAGGTAGTGATATATTTTGTTTTTGAATTCTCTTCTTAGTTAATAGGTCTTTTTGGTTAATAGACAAGGCTTGATTGAAAGTAGATTGGATGGTGGTTTTATTGTACCCTTTTTTTAAAAAACTTTCTTTTATTGTTTCTGCTTGCTGTTTAAAAACTGGGGTTTCTGTACAGTTTCTTCTTAATCTAAGCATTTGACTTTTTGGAATGCTGTCAAGCCATACTTTATTATGGCAGCTTTTAGTATCGATATAATTATTGACATGGACTTGTTTAAAGTGAGTTTTAGTGTGGATTATATTGTTTTTAATATAAATGTTTAGGTCTAAATATGTGATATGAGAATCACTAATTTCTGAGGTTAAAATTATGCCTTCTTGATTGGTATTTAGGAAGGAGATGAATTCTTTAGCTTCGGTAGAACTTCCTTTCCATATGAAGAGGAGATCGTCAATGTATCTTGAATAGGACACCAGGTTTTTTGCCCAGCCATGCTCACTCCAGATATATCTGTCTTCCCATTCCGCCATATAGAGGTTAGCGTAGCTGGGCGCAAACCTGGTGCCCATAGCTGTGCCTGTTTTTTGTAAATAAAAACTGTCTTTAAACCAAAAATAGTTATTACTAAGGATTAGATCTATCCCTTCGATTAAAAACTCTATTTGGTCTTGTGGCATTATTTTTTATTTTTCTAAAATCGTTCTTACTGCTGTACATCCTTGGTGGTGTTTAATAATAGTATATAAGGACTGAACGTCACAAGTGATGAGTAAGAAGTCATTCTCCCATTGGATGCTCTTAAGTTTATTTAATAAATCAATAGAGTCCTTTAAGTAGGATTTAGTTCTTACAACGTATGGTTGTAGTAGGATGTCTATATACTCAGACAGATTTGAGAATAAGGATCCGATCCCGGACACTATCGGTCTGCCGGGGGGATTAATTAGACTTTTATGAATCTTGGGAAGGAAATAGATAACCGGAATATGGGGATGTTGTATGTTAATGTATATGAATTCATTTTTATTCAGAATACCAGATCTCTTTCCTTCCTCTAGATACACTTGAAGCTTTAGTATCATCTCCGATGTGGGGTTATTGCTGAGTTTTGTGTATGTATTAACATCATTTAGTTGTTTGTAGGCCTCATTTTCATATTGGTCTTTTGATAATATGACCAAGCCTCCTCCCTTGTCGGCAGGTTTGATGACAATAGATTCATCATTATAAAGATCTTTTAATATTCTTTTTTCATGCTTATTTAAATTAGATCTCTCAGTATATCTGCTTTTGGTCTCTAACCTTTTTAGGTCTTTGCAGACTCTACGTTCGAATATGTCTAATGCACTGGATTTTAAATGAGCTGGGTAGAATGTAGATTTTTTTCTTTAGATTACTCCTTATATAATCATTATTTATATCTGTATTTGCAGTAGTGTGAGTGACTGTTTGTATATTTTGTATGCCTGGCGTTTTGGAGGTGTTGACAT